GGTAAACAAGTAAGAAAATTATAGTCGGCCGCGGTCGAATATTTTATACTCATCGCCGTTACCTTAAAAAAAGGGAAAAAAAAAACTAAATTTCCATACTCTACAGTATTGCGTGGGTGTGGTTGATTTTTGCCTATTTTTGTTCGATAAAAGGGGAAATTTGTATTCCGTACTTGATGAGGTTTTGTGAGTAACAAAACCATTTTTGGTCTCTGTCTACTCTCTAAGTCCTTCTATTTGTTATCCATGTCGACACATCGGATTGCGAAGAAAAACTGAATACTTCATCGTCGCGAAGTAAGAAAAACAAATAGAATAAGTGTTAGGAAGCAAGCAAACTAAGCTAAAAAAAAAATTAAGTTATTACTACTAAGTCTCGTGCACACTTATAGTACGAACACTGAAAGAATGCAATGCACATATGGAGTTGTAACAATGTTCAGGGACATTAAGTAAGATCCGATTTTTGACTTATTTTAAAGGACAAAGGCTGAAATCGATTAGGAAAACCTAATTTCCTTACTTCGTTCAGGATTTATCACTGCCCAAATCGCCCTGCATGTACCCTTCACTTATACATAATACACCGAAGCTACAATGATTTTTATAATATCAAGTACGATTTTGTTTTTTATTATGTTTATGGCAGTTACCGGAGAGACTCGGGTATCGTGTATCGTCTATCGTGCTATATCGAAACTGTCTTACATGAAACTTTGGTTTTTTATCCGTAAGTTAAACTAAATTTATTGTACGGATTAAATCATTATTAAATCATCATAGCACTCATCATGCACTATACATCAAATGTTTTCTATTTCGTTTTATTAGTATTTCTTCCATATATGTAGGTATTATCTTATAAACTGGCAACACCGGCTGACATAGTGGCTCTGCGGCGTACAATTAGGTAAATATGGATTTAAAATAAACTTGACTTCATGTAAAAGGGGGCTTCAGTTGTAATTTCCAATTTCAAAGAGAAAAGTTTTGGTGCTTCCAGGTTTTAAAATATCCAGTAAAATTTGCGACTTGTGATTGCTTAACATATAGAAATCATTAAAAATTGTATCAAAGTAGCAGCTCAACACCCATCGATTCTCCATTTGCCAGAGAGGATTGGGTCGTCATCACAGCCTCTATATTCAGGCCACTGGGATGATATGATTTAACTTTTTTTCCTTTAGAGCTACTTTAAAGCCCAGGTCCATGCTGAGAATCTGCAAATTTTCAACATTTTCGGATTATCGCAGACATAATGCCACTTGTTTTGACCAATCGCTCAGACGATGTCCCCGGTGCCGGCCAGAGAGAAGAGCAAATTGAGAAAGGGAATGACATATGGAAACGTTCGCGGCCTAGTGAACACTCACTTTCCCACCTTACCGCCTGAACACTCACTAAAGCTACGCCCAATGTTAACGCAACCGTACGGAGATGTGAATCCGTGATTAATAACTTGTTAGTCGCGGTTCGCACCTACTCGACGTATGCGCCAATGAGCTCACGACCATCCTGGACATTTGCACGATAGTATAATTTGCTTTGTTACGTTGACTTCTTTCTTTTCTTTTTCTTCATATTTCACAAAAAAAAAAAAACAAAATGTCATTCTTAACGAAAGTCGCTTCGCAACGTTCTATACGTAAGGAACTTTTGTGATTCTGGCGAGTGTTTGAATGAAAAAAAATTCGATTTTCAACGTAGAAAAATAAAAAAAAAAATGGCAAACCTTTACTTATTTACTAAGGTTTAAATTAACTTGAGTGTTTTCTTTGGATTTCTTTTTTTTTTATTTTTTTTTTATTTTTATTTTTACACTCTGACGCCATATCTTTTGTACAACTTTCGAAATTCGAAATGAGGTAAAAAGTCCTTCGGTTTATTGAATAAACTTTTTTTTTTTTATTATGCATCCAGAATTAAACGCTAATGTATTAAGCTCTGACCTACTTTCCCTTTATTCCATAGCAGCATACGCTCCGTCTGTAATTTTTATAACAAATGCGTCGATTCTGGTTTATAATTCAATCATCGAATTCAATTGAAAAGAAAATGTCAAAAAAAAAAAAAAAAAAAAAAAAAATAGGAGAGAAAAATGAGCTAATTTGATTCCACTTGGCGCCATGCGTTAAATGCAATTGCAAAGTAAATAACTGTTTTCACCCTACATCACTTAGCATATTTTGCGTTTGTATGATTGTTGGCATACAACAGTCAAACCAACTTGACCTCACTTGATTTTTACGTTCGATCCATTCAATCCGTAAATAACGAGATATTTCGATAAAATACTTACCAATCTATTCTGGTTCTGGCTCAAGGATGAGCTCTATTACAAATGCATGGAAGATGGGATTATATAGGAAAGCCTTTTCAAAACATGGTTATGCGAAAAAGACTTACAACTTCCTTTTCTTTTTTTTTTACTTCTCAATAAATATCGGCATAAACTAATACGGTTTTGGTATTGGCTGATTGGATGTGTGAACATTTTAAAGAGATGGGTTCGGTTTTATTTTAAACCTCTGCCCTTGCTATCTAATCCTAATGATATATGAAAGTTGAAAGAAAGTTTTGTTCGAATCGACTCGACTCGTCCATATACGGAAATTAATTTCAAAATTATCAAAGTCGAGATTATGTCAGTATTGGATTGGTAAAAGTGAAATTTCGGTTTTGTGAATGTTTTTTTTTTTTTTTTTTTTTTGTTCATATTAAAAACAACAAATTCTATGTTTTAAAGGTTTTTTACCGCTTTGTTCGACTCAAACACATGTCATGCCAACAACAAGAACTGTTTTGCGAATAACTTCACAGAGACATCACAAGTCACAAGGCATTTTTTTTCTTTTTTCTTATTTGCGGTTTTTATCACTTAACAGCATTGGCTTATAACAAAATTATCATTGAAAAGTTTTATTGCTACCGGAATTGGTCCGTAATACCAAATTCGATAAAAAGTTACAGTGGCTGTGAAGAGAAGGAATGCATTTTTATTTCTTGCATGTAATGACAGATCAGTCAAAGTCAGAGCACGGCTGCAAATGAACATTTGTCACATTAATTAATGTAATTAAGCGATGTAATCTTTTCTCTTTGTATTGCATGAACGAATTGAACGAAATTCATCTTTTTACGCTGAATGTTCTTTCAGTTCTCAAGTTATCGCTTAACGCTTATGTTATGTTAATAGATGGATTACTGTCGCCGCTATATATATACACAGTTATTGATATACTCAATGGCAATGGCGAATTGGTCAGGTAATTGAAATAAAAACCGCTGTCAGATGAATTCAAATATAAATATAAATCTATTTATTACTGGGAAACATTTCGAATTGTTGTTAGCGAAAAGTGATAAATAAATTTTATTCGCTTTATTTTATATGAAATTTAGTTACCGATCGCTTAAAGCGAATAAGCGAAAATCGGCATATCTTTCAAGTGTACCCCTTTGCCCCGTTTCATATACTTGGGATAATGAAATAATATTCGTATATTAAAGATTTCTCATTCTCGCCATCTCGCTCGATATCAATCGGAATAAATTAGCGAATGAAATGAACGCTGAATGCAATCAATTGAAATTAGATGCAAAGGATTCGAACTCGAATTCGATATTTTGATTGCTTTAAATGAGTTGTTTAACTCTAAGGCAATGCATTCGATTTTGCATTGTTATAAAGCGGGAGGTCAATGGTGCGGCCAACGATTCCAGTAAACAACGAATTGTATAAGAATCATAACCGACATTAGCCAGTTTTCTTGTGAAGGCCTATCAACAGGAGGAGCCTATCGATATAAATGGCCTTGTATTGATCAAATTGATTTACTTAGAACTTTGGAAGCTTTCGTACGATAATAAATAGTAAAGTCGGGAATTTACATTTCCTACAAGCTCTTCCAGTTACATACAATTGCATAGAATAATTACAGCGGCCTTCTTATAAAAGTTAACTAATTTAAATTTAAAATTGCTTCAACTTTATCAGGCAAAGTTTGAAAGCCTGATCTGTTAATACGAAACTTGATGTATAGAAACCGATGCATGTCTATGGATTCAATCTGTATATCTCCTTATATCTGTCTGCACACAAAGTACATACCTACGTTATCCAATATGAGTTCGGTAAACAAAAATATCCGAGTTTACAGTGCTGGAATACATTTGATAACACGTATATGCCTTGACCGAAGAAAAAATATTGATATAGTATTTCTATGCTTCGCATACTCTTCTCTTATCGGAAAACTTCCAAAACAGTAGAGGAAGGGGAAAAAAAGGTGAACAGCATTTGTCTACGTTCGCTTTAAAGCCATTTGAGCCAATTAGGAGCGGTGGGACTAACCTCGACAATGAAAGTGAATGTAAAGATTTCTTAAACGATTCATAAAAAAAAAAAAAAAAAAAATTAAAAAAAAGAAATAAGAAAAGTATAGTCAGCAGTGGCTGAATATTATTATATCCACCAACTTTTTATAAAAAGAAGAAAATCTTTGTAATGAAATGAAGAAAATACCCTACGCTGTTCAGTGAGCGTGGCAGATTTTTCAGATTTTTGCACAAACACTGTAGGATCACTCACTCATTCAAGAGTTGTCGAACTTTTTA